CCAGCTGTTTGCCTCAAAAGCGCCGCTCCCGACTGATGGAGGTGATGGAAATTACGCTCCTTTTGGCTTCATTTTTGGGTTACTGGAACACAGCAAACATTTCTCCGCGAAGTAAACGTTTGTTTCCGGAAAATTCCCGTTTATCTCTGGAGCATGCGCAGAGCTCACGTAGACGAATTTTCGCGTTTTATTTACTACTTTTGTATTATTTATGGTTTGTGAGCCTTGCAGGTAGAAATGAAGTTAGGCGGTCCTCAAATTTGTTTTTATCACCAGTTTGCGGCCAGAATTCCATAAACTACGCGTTTTTTTTGTGAAACGTTCCTACATAACATCAAAAAATGAGGCGAGAAAAGCGCACTGGGAAGTGCTTTGTCCCGAATCAATCGGGGACATCACGAAAAAATGTTTGCTGTGAAACAATAACACTCCTGGTTTTTGTATGAATATTAAAAACAATATGTTCTTGCGAATTTTCAACTGGCGCTTTGTTCCATTTTAATAATCACTTTCCTTTTCTCCTTGGCCTCAACAATAATCCCAGTCTGACTGACAACGCTCACGCTTCGGGTCCCGCACCTTTCCCTGCGCAAGCTGCTTGGGGTGTAAAAAACGGAAGGCGGGGAAAAAATAACGCGAGTTAAGGAAGAACAATTAATACGACAGGGGCGAAATGGCGCGGGGCTTTCTTCTTCTCCTTTCGCTCGAGAGTTGATCGGTCTCTCTCTCTCTCTCTCTCTCTTTATCTCTCTCTCGCTCTGTGTGTGAGTGTGCGCGAGAGAGAGAGAGACACACACAGACAGAGAGAAAGGGGAGGGGGGAGGCTACGTTGTGTTCATAAGGGCATGGAGACCCACTTGCTCTCCGGCACATTCAATATCGCACGCAGGCCGCGGCAGCCGCTCAGAGTTGTGCGTCAGAGAGAGAGAGAGAGAAAAACACCCGGGGGAGGGGGGGGGGGAGAGGAAGACGAAGAGCCAGGGTGTGGGTGTGGAGAGTGCTAAGAAGAGTCTCTTTCTCCCATACAGGGTGTCCGCCGACTGATTCAAAAGAGCGTTTCTTCGTACCCCCCCCCCTCTCTCTCTCCAGCCTAACGGTGGCGGCCCATGAGAGCGATAGGGACGGAAATACGAAGGCGACCTACCAAATCAGTCGGCTGAATAAGCTCGGGCTCAAGCCTATCGCTGCGGTAGGCTTCGGGGAGGCTCCCAATTCAGGTGCCGCGTCCCGTCCTCAAGTTATAACTTCGAGTGATAACGTTCGCGTGAACCAACGTAACGTCGTACAACCCTCATCGGTGCAGGCAAGGCGGTCTCTGCAGGTCGGAGCCCATCCCAGCCGAGCCGAAGCCCGGCCCGCTCTGGACACGCCAGTTGGATTGGCTCACTTTCGTGCGATAATGAAGATCTCTAATCTATGCATTGCGCCGAGCCGGTCTGGCCCCGCCCTTCTCCTGCGTTATTGTGCTCCGTCCCGTCCACTCGCAGCCGGACCGAATCAGAACAGATCCGATCCGATCCGCGGCGAGGCCCGGCCGGGGCGGGGCGCGGCGGGGCCGGGCGGGGCCGGGCGAGGCCCGGGCTCGGCGCTGGACAACCAAACACGAGGCGCACCGAAGGCGGATCAGGGGATCACGACGGTGTACCGGAGGGTATACCGTATTAGAGCGTGAAGCGGCATCGGTTAGAGATGCGACTAGGCAATCACACACAACAGGAAATATAACATGTTTATCAGAATAAGGTCCGGGTACATATATGTGTAAATTGCGTTGTTGTAAAAAGGTACATCGCGCCCTTTTCACAGCAGGGTCGGGGCCACAAACGCATAAATGAATAGGATGCTTGACACAAGCAGGGGATGCTTCCTGGAAGGGGAAATAGCTCTTTTAGTGCCAGGAGCGGACAAAATGGCGGAAACGACAAACCGGCGCCAAGGTGCGGCGGGCGCCGGGGAATGCCTTCCCCCTTCCCTGCCCCCTCGGACACTGATTCCCCCCCCCCCCTGCAGTGCATGCACACCCACTCATCAAACGCCCAAGTTGAGCCTCTGCAACAACTTTTGCCGACTTTTGCCCTCCTTTCGCGGTTTGGCCTCCGTCACATGCTCCCCCTCCCCCTCCTTTACCGGGGAAGCCCCCCCTTTACAACGACAGCTCGGTTATTCTCAACAGTGTCCAAAAGCAGAGGAACCGATTCGCTGCGGTAGTTACTCCAGACGAGGCGACAGGAATGCCAGCTGCACCATCCCGGTACCTCCCTTCCCCCTTCTGCCCCCGGTGCCCCAAGCCCCTAACAACGGCCGCTGCGCTGCACCGGCCTCTACACCGCGGCCTGTCCGGCCTGTCCACTGCGATGGGCGCGTATTTTTAAAATGTCACGGATCCGCCTTCCCCCTCGTTCCCCTCCTGACCGCCCCTGCTGCAGGCCGCCACCCCAGCTACCCCTGCCCCGGCCACGCACTTGCCCGCCCCTGCGTGATATTTTACAGCGGCCAAAACTCCTCGCGAGCCCCCCTCCCTCGGCCGTGACCGGGGCCGGGGCGTGGCATTCAGAAGGGCAAGGAGGGGAGCGCGCAGCCAAAAGAAACGAGATGCTGGGGAGGAGGCGGAGGAGGGTGTCATGTATGGGGCCTTTGGGCGGGGCGGACAGGAGTAAGCCCATACACACCTGCGCCCAGACTCCCCCTCCCCTACACTTTACTTTCCAAACAAACTTTCCCGTTGAAAGTTTAGGAGTTCAAGGAGAGGACCTTTGGGGGCGCGGGGAGAGGGGGTGATACTGCACCGCACAGAGCATTGCGCGGGGTCTTTCGCTTCGTGTGCGAATAATAGCAATGCTGGCAGAAAATGTGCACGGCACACCTAGATAAGCCCCGACCCCCGCTATGACAGCGATGGCGAGAGCAACAGTAGCACACGCTGCCTTTTCCTCATGAGATAAGGCGATACCGATCGAGACCCTCATTCAACTTGAACAACTTACCTGAAAAAAAGAAGGCCTATCTGCTTTGCTTTTATTGTGTTATCTATGGCCTTCTCTTCAAATCTTGAGAAAGTTCCTAAAAGTTTCCCCCTTGTTTTTTTGTTTTTGTTTTAAACAGACGCACCAAGTCGTACAACAACGTGGTTCCACTTGCGTGGTTACTGAACTCCTACACTGGTCGAGCTATCATGACATCCAGGAGCTCAACAACACCACATGACGGCGCCTATAGCGGACCGGGCAGGAGCGGGACCAGGGCGTCGGACAGGCGTGCGCGTACTTTTAAAGCTCTGGTTGGAGCCGCGCCCCACCGCGCCTAACCGCGCCCCGCCCGCGGTGCTCCGCTACACGGCGCTGCGCTGCTCCGCTCCACCGCCCATGTCTGCAGCAGGGCCGCGGTGGCGATGAGCACCAGGGCGGGGCGGGGCGGGGCAGCCGGGCACAGAGCTGCGAGCCTGCGGACGGGCGCCTGCCTGCAACCACTCCCCCCTTTCGCCTCCCTTTTCCTCTAAGTGATCTTTAAAAATAAGTCCAAAAAAAAGAAGAAAGAATGAGCAGCACGCGCGGCGCGCCACGCACGGGACCCACAAACTCCAACGCTATAATTTTCGCCTTTCCTTTGCGACCGTCGCAGTAAACGTGCGACATAGGAGAGGAGCGGTGCGCAGACCGCTGTGGACATACTAATTGCAGACAGCGCGAATAACCGAACCCCCTCCTGCCGTCAGTCGAGGGAGTGGCGATGCCACGGCTGGTGCCATGCCGCGGTCGTGGAGACTACCCCCGACCCCCCCCCC